AGTCGACGCGCATCGGGTCCTCTGTCTTCGGCGTCTTCTGGTCTGGCGACAGCTTGTCTGGGGAGCGCTCGAGGGCCTCTTCGAACGAGCGGGCACGCCCGCGAATCTTTGCAAAACTTTCGCCTTTGCATGATCCCTTGCAGACCATGCTCAGCGTCATGCCTGTGGACTCTCTCGGCAATGCTGCCGTTGCTGCTGCTTTACTTGTCATTGTGAGATGGAATCAGAAGAACTGAGAGTCTCAAAACCGTATCTGCTCACCTGAGGCGAACAAGGAGGCAGGCTGAAACCTGGGGCGCACCAGGCACAGCAAGAGCAGAAGCTCTATTCCTTGAGCCAATTCCTCGAGCCAAAATGGCTTGAGCCAACATGGCTACGTCACCTGCTAGGTGCAGTCGACAGGCTTGAAACCGCATTAATGCACGATATTGATGGCCGGAGGTGGTTGCGCAACAGTGGCCGCAAGAGGAGCATGTAACACATTTGTACGCCAGCCGATGTGCAAATCCACTGGCTGTCCGTGAGCATGCGGGCATATGTATGGGCAATGTGTATATCCATATCCAATGCGTGTTGGACTTTCTTGGACGGGGCGCCGCAAGGCCAAGGCGCACTGGACATGGATAAGCATCGAGCCTTTCGGGGCCCGAAGTTGATTCATACATATCCGGTGCGCCTCGGGTTTCTGGGGAAGGGAGCCCGAAACTCCACGCAGCAGTTGATATGGACAGACGTGTTGCCTGCAGCATGAAGCCTCAAGGATGCCCAGGAAGGCAACGAGCGTGCCAAGAACGGCGCTTCGCCCACAGGAGCGAGCGTGCGGTGCTGCATTAAGAGGCGGCACGCGTGCAACATCGACAGCTGTGGCACAAGCTTCGGAACACATCCATCAGCAGACCTTCAGGTCCACTGTCTCCGAACCTCTGCGGGGCCGCCCTTGCCTGGAGTCAACCCGCATAGTAAGAATGCGCGGTAAGGATGCAAGCACCTTGGACGCCCAGTTCGATACTTTTCGAACGGGGCGCGGCCAAAGAAAGTGGCCAAGGATGGACCGAAGAGGCAAGGAGGCGTGGCCTTGGGAAGGCTGCTGATCCTTACTATGCGGGTTGGCTGTAGACCGTGTCGTCCAAAACGAGCGCGATCCACTGTCGTGGACCTGACAAAAAGATCTTAGAAAATGGGAGGTCAGACACCAAGGGATCCCCCCCGTCCCCCCTTACAAGAATTAGCCTGGCGAAGGACTTGGCCAGATGCGGTTTTTGAGTGCCGTCGTTATGAGTGTCGCCTGCAGTGGATGCCCTGGTGGGGCCACGAAGGGCGTAAAGGGCGTGCTGACATGGGACTGGGGCTGCTACGCGAACGCTGCCAACGGGGCCGTCGTTTCTATGGGGCCACGAAACGTGTGAGGGGCGTGGGCCGAAATAAGTGGCGGGAACGCATGCGGGCTGAGTCACTGAGACTTTCGGCGGAGCTCCCTATGGTGCCACGAACCGTGTGGTGGGTGCGCTAAAATTGGCGTCGGGCGCATGCGGACCCTGCCACTGGGGCCTTCGGTGGAGCTCCCTTTGGGGCCGCGAACCGTGTAATGGATGCGCCGACATGGGCGTCGGGCGCATGCGGACCCTGCCACTGGGGCCGTCGGTGGAGCTCTCTATGGGGCCGCGAACCGTGTGAGGGATGCGCCAACATGGGCGTCGGGTGCATGCAGACCCTGCCACTGGTGGAAGAGCTCCGTATGGGGCCACGAACCGAATGGGAGGAGGGAGGAAGGGGAGGAGGAGAGGACAGAGGAGGATGGGAGGAGAGGACGCGTGGCGCCGTCTCCTCAAAACGAGAACTCGACACCACAGGATGGTTGAAGACAGAAATCCGAATGGGGGGTCAGAAACCAAGGACCCCCCCCTCTGACCTCTCTCTGCCCCCCCCGCAAAGAACCGGCGGGGTCTGGACCCTCCCCCCCCCGGGCAACACATTTCGGGTGGTTCCGAACCCCCCCCGCCCAAACCCCGCCCGCCCCGGGAAATGACGCGCCCCTCCTCCCCCTTGGCAACGACGACGACGACGACGACGACGACGACGACGACGACGACGACCACGACCACGACGACGACGACGACGACGACCACGACGACGACGACGACGAAAACTATGACGACGCCTACGACGACGCCGACAACGTCAGCGGCAGCGACGGTGCGCCTGTGGCTGGCGCCCGCGCCAGGCGCCAGCTCTTATACAATGCTTCTGGGGCTCGGTCCAGCTCTTTCAGAATCGTACCAAGGCTCGATCCAATGTTAAAGGATTTCCTGAGTTACGGGTGGACCCAGCTTTCATAAAATCCAAGGAGGGTTCGATCCAGCTTGCGTGAAACCCTACTGGGTCTGGATCCATCTCTGCTGGATCCAGCTCTGATAGAATCTACGAACACATCAGGGTTGGATCCACATTTAATAGAATCCCCCTCGGGCTCGACCCAGCTTTAATAAAACCGCACAATGCTTGAATCCACCCCAGACAAATTTCTTACGATGGTTCTATCCAGCTCTTACAGGATCCAGCGGAGGCCGGATTTAGCTCTAATAGAAATCGTATAAGACTGGATCCAGGAATCATCTAATCCGACTAAGACTCGATCCAACTCTAACAGAGTGATGCTAAGGTTCGGTTCAACTTTAAGAACTCGTCGAGGTCGTCGTCGTCGTCGTCCTCGCCGTGGTCGTCCGCGTCGCTTGTTGGCGGTGTCGGCGGCGGCGGCGTCGTCGTCGTCGTTGTCGTTGCTGGGGAAGGGGAGGGGGGCCTGGCCCCCCTGAATAACTGTCCCGGAGGGGGGGGGGGCCTTCTGGACACTCGGTAACTTTCCCGAGGGGGGGGGGGTCCGGACTCCCCCCCCCATGGTTTTGGCGGTGGGGGGATGGAGGGGGGGAGAGCGGGAGGGAGGAGTGACTCCCCTCCCCCCGCCAGCAGCGGCAGAAAGCGCCCTCTCCGTCTGTGTAATCTGAGGCTTGGACAGCAAGTTCGTAAGCATCGAACTGATTCGCCTGCGCTTCAAGCGCCAACAAAAATCCGCGATGAAACCATTTACTCGTCCGTAGGGTTGCTCGGGTCGCCGAGTTACTGGAAGTCTTGAGAGTCCGTCAAGGCGCCCATCCATTACTGCTGGAACCTTGGACTGGCCACTGGGAAGTTGCATATGAACATTACAAACGCATCCACGGCTGAACTCTTTGACAAGAAAGCACACTGCTGCTTTACAGTTCGTTTGCGCAGTATCCGTCCAAGTTGTCGAATGCGGCCCCTATCTCCCCTGGCATCCTGGGCAGAATTCGGAGTGGCAGGCGGCTGTACGAGCGAACGGCCACCTACACGCACCGGAGTGGTATTGTGGATGTCGCCCAACTGTGTGTCAAATACTGCGTGTGCGGCTCCTTCGAAGTCCCCCGGAAGGAATATGTAGTTTTTGGAACGCATACATTGTCTTTACAACGTGCGTCCAATGCCTCACGTCCACACTGATTCACGCAAATCCGTCCCAGTAAAGGTCGAGGCACGCATGTTGAATTGTTGCATCCAGAAGCATGTAGGTATTTGCTGCGTCGGGATATGGCTCTGGGGAGGGTTCAGGAAATACGTGCCCGTCGTACCGCCAATGTGTTTGAGAAGAGTATAGCCGCGAGTAACTGCTTCTGGGTTCGAGGACAATCATGCACAAATAATTCGGTCCTGTCTGGTTCCCTACTGTTGTAGGACAGAAGAAAGCGCAAGCATCTCCCACCTCGACGCTATTAAGTCGATGTCGAAATCGTAAGACCCTCCATGATCTCCCTTGTGGGCCATCTGGGATCTTCCTGAGCACAGACGATGCGGCAACTCACGCCTAATCTAGGCAGAAATCTGCCCACCGCCGGGCCCCCCACGAGTCCACCTGTTCAAAACGCTCCTGGCTACGACTGTGGTGTTCGGGCTTCTCCTCAAGGGGGAATTCCTGAAACACCTCCACGGGGATTCCTTCACATGACCTGCCCACCGTGACGTGCGTCAATCAGGACGCAGACACTGACATGAACATGAGAAATCGGAGGTCCGCGCGGACGGCTCGGATCGGCGTCTTGGAACCCCTTCCCTGGCGCGCGGAGCGCTCTGGGGGCGGTGCTGGAGGCGCCGCCAGGGAGGCTCTGGCGCCGATGCGAGAAATCCGCGCGGACCCTCCGAATTGGCATATTTCTGTCACTGCCTGCTCCCCGAGTTGGGGAGTGCGACTTGCGATGCACCGCTCGTGTCGACGATTTGGGCGAGCAGGAAAGGCGACGGCAGCCAACGAGGAGGCAGAGGGCCTGCTGCCCCGAAGAGGACCTCCGGCGCCCGGGCGGGAGACGTACGCAGATAGTCCCACCCAGGCCCGGGCGCCAGTTGAAGCATGCATGTTCGATTCGGTTTGGGACGGCAGAGCACGCCGATGCAAACGTGGCGGGTTCGATTCGATTCGGTTTGGGAGTGGCTTGAGCAAGCGTGCCGACCCCGCACGTCCCGTCGGGCAAAGTCCCTGGCCGAGCTGAAAATGGTCGCGCGAAGCCGCCTGGACAGCAACCCGGCCGCTGGCATTCGCGGCGCGGCTCTGGGAGCCCCGCGGGCGTTGGCCGAAGAGCCCAAACGGGGAGGCCCTCGGCGTCGCTGCCGTGGGAGGCCCTCGGCGTCGCTGCCACGGTCGGGAGCTGCTGCTCCGCGTGTCGCGGCGGCGGCCCCAGCGGCACGCCACGCCGTGCAAGCGGGTCGCGTGGCGCTCCGCTCCGCAGGGCGGGAGGCTCGGGAACTCTCGAGACACCGACTCCTGGGGACAGGGCCGCGGATTGCGTGTCGCGCCGAAGCGTGGTGGGCCAGAGCCCGCAGAGCGGCACGCTGGGCCAAAGCTCCTGGCCCTGCCTTCTCCCCTCCCCGGGGAGCACGCGGCAGCGGCTGACGAGGAAAACGAGGTGAGCGGAAGAGGAGCGGCGCGAGCGCGCGGCCCGCTCCCCGTCCCTGCAGCCGAGCACCGCGTCGACGAACGATGCGGCGGGGACGCCGGGGAACGCCTCGAGCTCCTGCGGGGAGGGTGCACTGCCGCGCGCACGCCCCGCCGGCTATTCCGACCCTCTCGCCCCGTACTTGTATGCTTTGGGACGCGTCTGGACATCCGATAAATTCTGGGGGCACTGGGACAACATGATTCACGGCGGATCTAAATCTTACCACCCGCCATCCTGTCCGCCGTCCAGTCATTCTCTGCCCCTCTCGCCTCCAAATCCATATGTTTCCTCGCCTCCATCAGCACCGTCAGTGTCATCGTCATCGTTTTCATCATCATCGTCATCATCATCACCCTCAGCATCACCATCATCATCACCAGCATCAGCATCATAACCCTCGTCATCATCATCCTCCTCATCAGCATCCTCATCCTCATCAATCGTATCATCACCACCACCATCATCATCACCACCACCATCATCGTCATCACCATCGTCATCGTCGTCATCATTACCATCGTCGTTATCATCATCAGCATCGTCGTCTCTTGTTCTCCCTCCCCCCTCCCTCCCGCCCTCTCCCTCTCGCTCGTTATCACTATCTTTCTCTCTCTGCATCTCTTTCTCTCTCTCTCTCTCTGTTTCTCTCCCTCTCTCTTTCCCTTTCTCTCTCTCTGTTCTTGTTTGCTGGTTGCTCCCTCTCTCTCTCTCTATCCTTATATATGTCCATGTTACATACGTACATATACGAATCTACATACAAGTCGATAATTCTGTGTTCGTACATTTATATATATATATAAATGTATAAATGTATATGTATATGTATATATGTACATCTACACGCGTTTGTGTGTACATGTGTGTGCATATGTGCTTGTGTATGTATGCGTGCCTGGCGCCCGTTCTCTCTTTATGTGCCTGTCTCCCCCTCTCTTTATGTTTCATGGAGTAAGTAAGTCATAAAATTCTACATCTGTGCATACCCGCTATAGCTGAGCAGTACTGCGCCGATCCGAAAGTGCCCCCCAATGTCGCCACCGTGTTCGCCGCGGCCATCTGGGGCGGCGCGCGCAGGATAAGACTCGCGGGGCCCGAGAACGGACGGGGGCGATGTCGCGAGGGCAGAGTCGGCGCGCCGATGGGCAGCCCAGCACCACGTTTGGCCGGAGGGGCCCCGTGCAATGCAAGGGCAGAGCCCAACTCCCGCCCGGGGTCGCGGGATCGGGTTCCCCTTCCCAATTAAAGATTTTGAATCCCAAACGGTGTACTGACCCGAAAATGAGCAAACGGCATAGGACCTCCTCGAAAAAAAACTTCGGGTTCGGTCATACGACGACCCGAAAAGTTGACCGACCGACCTGAAAGTGGCCAAATGTCACAGGACTTGCGCCACAAAAAATGTTGGGTCCAGTTCGAACGACCCGAAAATGTGTAAACCGCCTAGGACCCTTTGCAAAAACATCGTTCTCGAGATCTTCGGGCCCACTCCGAAGAAACCGAACATGGGCACACCGCTTAGAACTTCCTATCAAGAACGGTTTCTCGATGGTTCTGGGCCTCGTCCGAAGGAACCGCCGATGGGCAGACCGCTCAGGACTTCCTGCGCCAGAAACGGTTTCCCGGGTGAGCCATTGGCAACGGGAGCGCGCCCCGCGCGGGATCGGGGTTCGCACGGGGGCGCGGCTGCTCTCGCCAGTCCAGGGGGCATGCATTGCCGCGCCCTTCCAGCATAGCGTTTGCGCTGCATTCGCCCGGCGCCTTGCCTCTCAAATCGGAATAAACTTTCGGAGCGCCGATGTACTGCTACAAAACTGTTCTGGCTTGGTTCGGGGCCTGGTGGGGGCGGCTGGGTTCGCCAAGAGGGACCTAAATGGGCCAACTTGGCTGCAAGAGGATTGGAATTTCAGCCGACCCAAAAGGGCCCCGAGACGCCGAGCGATCCGTCCAAGACGCTCCAGATGGCCCCCAAACGGCCCAAGAGGCTCCAAGACGCTCCAGGAGGCCTCCAAGAACCCTCCCAAGAGAGCTCCACGAAGCAAATGTCGTGCCATTCCCATAGGCAAATTTCGGTCAGTTTTGGCATTTGCAACTTTCGGCCTGCACAGCGTCGAAGACGGCCCAGGAGGCCTCCAAGATCACCCCAAAACGGCCCAAGAGGCCCCGACGATGGCCCCGAGACGGTCCAAGAGGCCCCCAGACGGCACAAGGAGACGGCACAAAAGCGCCGCAAGGCGGCCCAATCAGGCCCCAAGAGGGCCCCCCTGAGGGGGTCCAAGCGGGGGAACTCGACCCAAGAGGGCCCCCTGAGGGGGTCCAAGCGGGGGAACTCGAATTGAGACTTCGAACCCTCCGCCCTACAAGGGCCCCCAAGAGAAGACGGCCAAGAGACCCCAAAGAGGCCCCAAGAGGCCCCCAAGAGGCCACCAAAAAGCTTCTCCTCCTCCTTCTCCTCCTCCTCCTCTTCCTCCTCCTCCCTCCCTTCCGCAGTAGGGGGCAGGCAGGGGCGGTGAGGACAAGAGGAGGAGAGATAAGGTCTCTGGAAGCGTCCAGGGGCCACAAAAAACCGGGCCCGATGCAACCGACAGGGAGACCGACACCGATCGCAACGGAAGCGACGCAGCGGCGCAGAAGCCGACGCCGCACCGCACCGAGCCGAGCAGGCCGGACGCAGCCGGCGCGCGAGGCAACCGAACCGGCCGAGCCGCGGACGACCCCTGCAGAGGATGGCGGGGCAGCCGGGCGAGGGGCCTCCACCATGGCGTCGCGGGACAGCTTGCCCGCGGCCTCCATGGCCAAGACGTGCGCCGCCAGCGCGGAGGCGTCCTCGCTGCTGCCGCACATGGCGCCCAGCTGCCCGAAGATGTCCTCTTCCCCCGGCGGCCTTCCCCGCCTCTCCTTGGGTCATGTCGGGCGCGTCCCCCTACAGGGGGATTTTCGACGAAAAACACAAACATACCCCCAAAAATGCTACAAAGAGGCAAACAAACACTCCAAAAATCGTTCCCCAGACTATTTTGGGACTACTTACCTAACAGCTTGTTCTGATAGGTTTCTAATGGGGTCAAAAGAGAGCAGCAGATGACTCCACAGGGGGGTCTGGGCGGGTGCCGGACAGGGTGCCGCAGAAGTCGTTTTAAGCTAACAGTCACACACTTCGTGCTCTTCGACCTCCCAGAACTCCATTCCCGGGCCACATTCTGAATGCCCGGAGCCAACTGTAGGCCACTTCGTGCTCTTCGAGTTCCCAGAACTCCATTCCCGGGCCACATTTTGAATGCCCGGAGCCAACTGTAGGCCACTTCGTGCTCTTCGAGTTCCCAGAACTCCATTCCCGGGCCACATTTTTGATGCCCGGAGCCAACTGTAGGCCACTTCGTGCTCTTCGAGTTCCCAGAACTCCATTCCCGGGCCACATTTTGAATGCCCGGAGCCAACTGTAGGCCACTTCGTGCTCTTCGAGTTCCCAGAACTCCATTCCTGGGCATGATTTTGAATGCCCGGAGCCAACTGTAGGCCACTTCGTGGTCTTCGAGTTCCCAGAACTCCATTCCTGGGCATGATTTTGAATGCCCGGAGCCAACTGTAGGCCACTTCGTGTTCTTCGAGTTCCCAGAACTCCATTCCCGGGCCACATTTTGGCTGATGCAGGCTGAGGCTGAGGCTGAGGCTGAGGCAGGCTGAGGCTGAGGCTGAGGCAGGCTGAGGCTGAGGCCGAGGCTGAAGGCAGACTGAGGCTGAGGCTGAAGCAGGCTGAGGCTGAGGCTGAGGCAGGCTGAGGCTGAGGCAGGCTGAGGCTGAGGCTGAGGCAGGCTGAGGCTGAGGCTGTGACTGTGACTGCCGTTGCCACTGCGACTGTCATCGCGAATGCGACTACGACTGCGAGAACAGCACAATTCTACAACTGGATTCTCATCTGAATCTTAAGGGGAATGCTTCCAGATATGCTCCTACACATCGCTGTTAGGTTGCTTTGCCGGGATAATTTTGGATGATGTCTGGGGTGTGTATTATTTTCCGTCGAAGATCCCCCTGTAGGGGGACAGGCCCGACTTAACCCTTGGGAGAGGCCCCCGCCGCTGCCAGGCTCTGCTGAAGGGGAACTGGAACACACAAATAAATACACACAAATAAAAAAATCCACCATATTTTCCTATATTACCTAACAGCGAAGACTGATAGGTTTCTAATGGGCTAAAAAGAAGCAGCAGATGACTCCACAGGGGGTCTGGGCGGGTGCCGGACAGGGTGCCGCAGAAGTCGTTTTAAGCAAACAGTCACACACTTCGTGCTCTTCGACCTCCCAGAACTCCATTCCCGGGCCACATTCTGAATGCCCGGAGCCAACTGTAGGCCACTTCGTGCTCTTCGACTTCCCAGAACTCCATTCCCGGGCCACATTTTGAATGCCCGGAGCCAACTGTAGGCCACTTCGTGGTCTTCGAGTTCCCAGAACTCCATTCCCGGGCCACATTTTGAATGCCCGGAGCCAACTGTAGGCCACTTCGTGCTCTTCGAGTTCCCAGAAATTCCCGGGCCACATTTTGAATGCCCGGAGCCAACTCTAGGCCACTTCGTGCTCTTCGAGTTCCCAGAACTCCATTCCCGGGCCACATTTTGAATGCCCGGAGCCAACTGTAGGCAACTTCGTGCTCTTCGACTTCCCAGAACTCCTTTTCCTGGGCCACATTTTGAATGCTGAGGCAGGCTGATGCTGCGGTCGAGGCAGGCTGGGGCTGAGGCAGGCTGAGGCTGAGGCCGAGGCTGAAGGCAGACTGAGGCTGAGGCTGAAGCAGACTGAGGCCGAGGCTGAGGCAGGCTGAGGCTGAGGCTGAGGCAGGCTGATGCTGAGGCAGGCTGAGGCTGAGGCTGAGGCTGAGGCAGGCTGAGGCTGAGGCAGGCTGAGGCTGAGGCCGAGGCTGAAGGCAGACTGGATTCTCATCTGAATCTTAAGGGGAATGCTTCCAGATATGCTTCTACACATCGCTGTTAGGTTGCTTTGCCGGGATAATTTTCTGGGTTTTTGTCTTCCCTACCACTTCCCATATGTTTGCATATTTTCCTGGGAGTCGACGATTAATTATGTCTGTGTGTTTCTTTCCCTCCTGATCTGCCCCCGACCCCCGGGCCGCCCAGCCTCGCGCAGCTTGCCCCCGCGCGGCGCGGAGCGCCGGGCGGCCTTCGCCCCCCCCCCCCCCCCCCCGCGCCGCCCCCCCCCCACCAGAGGGGCGCGGCCGCCCCAGATGGTCTGGTACCGGAAACTTTCGGTAGCGATTTCGACGCACCCCGAATTTCGGTAGCGACCGGATCTTCGTTTGAGGGCGTTGAAATAGCGGATTTCAGAACGGTCTGATACCGGTATTGGGCGCTACATTTCGGTATTTCGGTAGCGACCGATCTCTGCGGAGCGCTACCGGAAATTTTCGGTAGCGGACCATCAGGGGCTACTCGGGCCCGGGCCGCGCCGCGCGAGGCGCGGCTGCCTTCGCGCCCCCGCGGGCGACGCGGGGCCCTGTGGGGGGGACGCGGGCACGACGAGATCTTCTGGAGCGCTCGTTTCGATTCCTCCGATTCGAGTCGCTTCGACTTCGAGGGCTTCCGATTCCGATTCGGTTCGACTCGGGAGTCCGATTTGGGCTCCGATTTCTTAAAGTGGAGGCATACTAGCCTGCTAATTTCAGCCGATTCAACTTGTCCCGACTCGGCTGCCGATTTCCCCCGATCCGGTTCATTTCGATTGTCGATCCGACTTCTCGATTCGATTCTGGGCTCTCCTGCTCCCCCTCTTCCGGGGTCCCCCTTGCGGGCCTCCGGAGCGCGGGGAAGAGGAAGGCTGCGGAGGGGGGCAGGGGTGCAGAGGCGTCGTGGGCACCCCGCGGTCGCCCGAGCAGGCCGAGGCGTCTCAAGACTCCGCCCGGGCCCCCAAGGCATGCGGACGCCCGCGGATGTCCCCGGGGCGCCCGGGGGCTAGGACGCGGTGCGGGAGCAAAGCTTACCGCCCGCCTCCGTCCCCTGCCCTCCGCCCTCCGGCCTCCGTCTTCCGCCCGCTCCTCTTTGCACAACCCCTGGCGGCGAGAAAAACTGGCGCCGAGCCGGAGTGTCCAAGATGGGAGACGAGGAGCAGCAGAGGCTGAGGAGGGTGAGAGGGGGAAGAGGACAACGAACAAAAAACGGGGGGCGAAGGGCAAATAACGACATGGCTATTATCATGGACTCGGGTGTGCATCAAATGCTGCCTCGCAGTTCCTGTGATGGAAGGACAAGGCGAGTATCAAGGTGATAGTGACGAGGGTACTTAGGATCAGGAAGTGGAGAAAGAGATGAGGAGGAGGAGGAGGAGGAGGAGGAGGAGGAGCAGGAGGAGGAGGAGGGAGGAGGAGGAGGAGGGAGGAGGAGGAAGGAGGAGGAGGAGGAGGAGGAGGAGGAGGAGGAGGAGAGAGGGAAAGAGGATGTCGGCTGAACGAGCGTGAACAGTGTGGTAAGTGTTCGGGCGCCGCTGGCCCACAGACACGAGGTTAACCCTCGAAGCTGGAAGTCGGACACCTCTTTCGTGGACGAGAGGAGGAGGAGAGGAGGAGAGGAGGAGGAGGAGGAGCAGGAGGAGGAGGAGGAGAGGAGGAGGAGGAGGAGGGGAGGAGGAGGAGGAGGGAGAGGAGAGGGAGGAGGAGGAGGAAGGAGAGGAGGAAGGAGGGGAGGAGGAGGAGGAGGAGGAGGAGGAGGAGGACGACGACGAGGACAACTATATGGCAAGGAGCAGGGACATGATGCCGCCGAGGTGGATGTCGGAGCCTCCAAGATGACGGTTCTGGAGCCCAACATCCTCGCCCTTCTGCTCCTGCTGATGTCGCTCCGCTTTGGTCTTGCGAAGCACCCCCCACCCCACCCCACGCCAAATGATCCTCCACCCCACCATTCAAAGCAACAAACGAGTTCAAGCAGCCACTGAGCACTGAAATCGTCATGGCTTGGAGAAGGAAGGAAGAGGATGATGGGGAGGAGTCGAAGGAACAGGCGTGACACATCACGCCACACACGCCGTGCGTGACCGAAGGACCAGCCTCGACCAGCCGAGCTGATGGAGCGGTGCCACGGCGCCGGGTGGCGCGGCCGTGCGCCGTCCTGCGCACGGCCGCCGCAGGCACCCTTGCCGACGAGCGCTCCGGCGGAGAAGCGCGACACGGCTGCTGCCCCGGCAGAGCACTGTCGGCACGCTTAAAACAGGGCGGCACGTCCATCCCCCGTGCATGTTGGCTTCGTGCGTTTGTTCTTGCCGCAAGGTGCTTCAAGATGCTCCACGACGGCCCCCGTAGAGAAACAACGCACTAAAACAGGGCTAGGATCGGGATAAATCGCTCCAGAGCGTTCCGCAGCGCTCTCAGAGCGTTCCGGCACGCTCTGGAGCGGCCGCGGCGCCCAATACATCCTCCGAGCCCGCCGATTCTCAGAGATTTCGAGTTATCCCGATCCGACTTTGTCCCGATCTTCGCGTCGTTTTAACGCTCCCTCCAGTGTTCTGGCGGGTGCCGCCGCCGTCGGGCAGCAGGCTCGCGGAGCCTGCAGCACCGAGCCTGCCCCGGCCCGAACACTGGGCACTGGCGGGTGCCCTCCAAGCGCAGGCCCGCGGGGAGCACTTCGCGAGCTGGACGGCGGCACGCTCCCTCCGGTGTTCTGGCGGGTGCCGCCGCCGTCGGGCAGCAGGCTCGCGGAGCCTGCAGCACCGAGCCTGCAGCGGCCCGAACACTGGGCACTGGCGGGTGCCCTTTCGGCGCAGGCCCGCGGTGGAGCACTCCGCGAGCTGCACGGCGGCGGGAGCCGCGGCGAGCGAGGCCTCCCCCTCCCCCTCCCCCTCCTCCTCCTCCCTCCTCCGCCTCCTCCTCCTCCTCCCCTCCTCCTCCTCCTCCTCCTCCTCCTCCTCCTCCTCCTCCTCCTCCTCCTCCTCCTCCTCCTCCTCCTCCTCCTCCTCCTCCTCCTCCTCCTCCTCCTCCTCCTCCTCCTCCTCCTCCTCCTCCTCCTCCTCCTCCTCCTCCTCCTCCTCCTCCTCCTCCTCCTCCTCCTCCTCCTCTCCTCCTCCTCCTCCTCCCTCCTCCTCCTCCTCCTCCTCCTCCTCCCCTCCTCCTCCTCCTCCTCCTCCTCCTCCTCCTATCCTCCTCCTCCTCCTCCTCCTCCTCCTCCTCCTCCTCCTCCTCCTCCTCCCCTCCTCCTCCTCCTCCTCCTCCTCCCTCCTCCTCCTCCTCCTCCTCCTCTCCTCCTCCTCCTCATCCTCCTCCTCCTCCTCCTCCTCCTCCTCCCTCCTCCTCCTCCTCCTCTCCTCCTCCTCCTCCTCCTCCTCCTCCTCCTCATCCTCCCCCTCCTCCTCCTCCTCCCCCCGCGGAGCGGCAACTGCTCGGACGACGGGGGCCGCCGCTGCCCCCCCCCTCTCCCGGGAGGCGCTCGAGGCGCGAGCGCCTCTCTCCTGCTCCGGCGTGCCCCGCCTCCTGCCCATCCCGTGGCTCCTCGCGCGGCTCCCCCTTCGGGCTCTCCGCCCCCCGTGCTCCTCGCGCTCCCCGTGCTCCTCGCACCGCGCGTGCTCCGCGGCATCCCCCCGCTGGCCCCCGCGCCTCCCTCGCCTCCCTGCTGCGCCCTTGCCTCCCTCTCCTCCCTGCCCTTGCCTCCTGCCCTTGCCTCCCTCTCCTCCCGCGGCATCCTGTGCCCTGCCCTGCCCCCCCCCTCCCCCGCCGCCCACCGTGGGGGGTGGCAGGCAGCAGTGCGAGAGAGCAGGGGGAGCGCCGGAGGGGAAGAGGAGGGGGGGGCGAGGGGGGAAACAGCGGACGGGAACGGGGCGACGAGGAGGGACGAGTGCAGCGGGAGGGGGGGGGGGCACAGAAGGGAGAAGCGGGCGAGGGCCAGGGAAGGCCAAGAGGGAAAGGGGAGAGGGTGAGACTGAACCGGAACGCCCCCTTTCGCGATGCCATAGCCCAGATAAGCACGCGAACAAGCAGAACCAACGCCTGCAAGCCGTAGTCGGAAGCGAGGGCTGGGGCTTTGTTGGGTGCTGGTGGTGTTGGGGGCTTATGAAGAATTCAGAGGGGTCCCAAATGATGATGATGATGAGGAGGAGGAGGAGGAGGAGGAAAAAGAAAATGATGCCAGCCCCCATCATCCTCCAAACCCTCCTTCCTTCATTTCTTCCTTCGCCCTCCCCTTCTACAGAATGTGTTCTTCATCTTGATGGTCGTTGCCCTTGTCCGCGCTGTCGTTTTCCTATCCCTCCACCTTCTCGTCTTCTTCATCCGCATCCTTATCATCGTCCCCTCCTACCCCACCTGCTCCTCCTAGACACCGCTTTCCTCTGCAAGCCCTACTCCTCCTCCGCACCCGCCCCTCCTCAGCCTCAGCTTTACCGTCGTCGTCGTCGTCCTCCTCCTCCTCCTCCTCCTCCTCCTCCTCCTCCTCCTCCTCCTCCTCCTCCTCCTCCCCTTCTCTCCTCTTCCTCCTGCCGCCCCCCCCCGCCCTTCCTGTCCCCCTGCCTCCCCCCCCCCATTCCTCCTCCTCCTCCTCCTCCTCCTCCTCCTCTCCTCCTCCTCCTCCTCCCCTCGTCGTCCTCCTCCTCCCTCGTCCTCCTCCTCGTCGTCCTCCCTCCTCCTCCTCCTCCGCCTCCTCCTCCTCCTCCCTCCTCCCTCCTCCCACACCCCTATCGTGCTCCTTCTGGGACGGACAGGGCCCCCCCCCCCCTGCCCCTCCATCTGCAGCTCGCCGCCAGGGCTGGTGGTGGCCTCGGGGCCACCCCGCGTGGGGAGCATGGCAAGGAGGGAGAGGAGGAGAAGGAGAAGCAGGAGAAGGAGGAAGAGAAGGAGGAGGAGGAGGACGACGATGAAGAAGAGGAGGAGGAGACGGAGGAGGAGCAAGCGCCCCGAGGCGAGCTGTCATTTCGCCTAGGCCGCGGGGGCGCGGGACGCGGGACGCGGGCCTGGGGTCGAGCTTCTCAGCTCGGCGAGGCGGTCCGTGTCGAAGCCGTCGTGGCCAATGTTTTTGTCGAAGTCGTCGTAGTCAGCGTCCCTGTCAATGTCGCAAGCGAACTTCTAGAAGTCGTCGAACTGAGGACACGCAGAGGGCGAGGGCGGCGGCCTCAGATGCAGAGCGAGACTGAGGAGGAGCACAGCCAGGCCAGACTCTGCGAATCTCCTCCAGCGCCAGCTGGGAAAGGGGTCACGCTGAGCGTCCGAGAACATCTGAATCTCCTCCAGCGCATTCTGGAAAAGAAGATCACGCCGAGCTTTTCGAAGGCGCTGATCAACCTTCGTGTCGCTCACTTCGTTGTCCTGCGTTTCCTTCTTCACCTCCTTGGCACGCTTACGCCCTTCGAGCAGGTCGTCGTCGCACTTGCCGAGCTCGTCGTGGTCCTTGAAAGTTGCAATTTGGGCCTTAAACAATGCAGAAGAAGTAGCGGGCGGGACACTCCGAGGAACGCCAGACGAGGGAGAGGTCCATCGCAGCGGGATGCAACGAACGAAACCCATGTCCGCGGAGAGCCACATGTGATCGCCCGGCGCACCGTGTGGAAGTTCAGAAGGCGGATCTCCAAGCAGTGGCGCATGAGACTGCTCGAGACGACCAGGCTGAAGGGGCACAGCACCTCGGGGAGCCGGTCCGGCTGCCACAGGCCGAAGCTCGTCACCGGCAGGAGTGAAGGGGCCCTGGGACACACACATAAATACACACAAATAACAATATGTCCCATATGTTTCTATATTTTCTGGGTTTTTGTCTTCCGGCGGAGGAGGAGGCTGATGAGGAGGCTAAGGAGGAGGAGGAGGAGGAGGAGGAGGAAGAGGAGGAGGGGGAGGAGGAGGAGGAGGGAGGAGGAGGGAGTTCCTGCGGGCGTCGCCGACGGCGCAGCGCGGGCGGAATCGGCGTGCTGGGCGGGCAGAGATCCTCGGGCCTAAGGGGGGAGACCTGGAGGCAGTGGACGCCGCACGCAGCGCGAGCACGGCGCCATACAGTCGGGGCGTTGACCTAAGGAACCCTAAATAAGGAACGAGGCCCCTATTTTCCATAAGTGAACCTTCTATTTCCTGTCGAAAACCTAAGGAAAACCTGAGGCAAGCTGCGAAAAACTCAAGGAACGCCGAGCCCCTCCCCAACGAAAAGGGTTCCTTCTCCAGAGCCCCGGCTGTAGTCCAGGGAAGTCCCGATCCAAAGCAGGGCCTCGATCCCCAACCGCAGCAGGGGGGGACCACACCAGGAGGTGCGAGAGGAACCTCCAGCAGGCGGAGCGCCAGTGGTGCAAATCACGTCAACCGTGGACTGAACGATCTCGGGGGAAAATGGGGAACGTACATCACTCCCAGGCGGGTCCGCACGGGAATCGTGCGGATCCACCCTCGGACCGCCATGAGCCCCGCCAGCACCTTCACAGGCAGCACGTCAGCACCGCCTTGAAAAGCCGAAAGCGCCAGAAGCGTGAGCAGGAGGAGCAGCACCAGGGACGAGATCGGGACCAGTCGACACAGGCAACTCGTCACGAGCAGCTCCGCCAGGAGTCGCTGCATGCGCAGCTTCGCCAGCACGCACCGCGAGCCCAACCAGAGAGCCAGCATCGTCGGCCTCATCACCAAGAAGACCCATCCAGAGGATGGGCAGAGCATCTCCGGCACCGCGCGGACGTCCACGAACCCCATCTACAGTCAACCAGTATAGCAAGGATGCGCGGTAAGGCTGCCAGGGCCTCGAAGGCCCACTTCGGAGCTTTTCGAGCGGGGCGCGGTCAGCGAAAGTGGCCAAGGCTGGACCCGGGAGGCAAGGATGCAAGGGTACCCTTGGGAGCGTTGCCCATCCTTCCTACACCCTGCGAAATGCTTAAGAAATCATGGGTTAAGAAATTCATAGTCTCAGAAATTGAATAAAAACCCAACATTTCCACTCAAATCTTAGGATTTACATCGAAAAGTTAAGAATAATCGAGACTCAGGACGAAAACTTAGGTTTTCTTAAGCATCGCCTAAGGTGTATGCGGGTTGACTCCACGTCGACATGTGCATCAGCGTCGGCGTCGGCGTCACCGGTGTTGGAGTGCTCGGTGTGCGGCCCAAGGGAGCGGGCGCAGGGCCCAGGGGCGGCAGGACGCCCACGCCGAGGCAGGGAGGTCACGATCGGCACCATCCTGTGGCTCACGATGGGCGGGAAGCTCTCGCTCGGCAGGAAGCACGTGGCCGTTAGGAGAATCACGATCTCCAGGCAGCCCGTGCACAGCGGGAAGACCGCCCTCGAAAAAATCCAGGAGGCTCGCGAGCAGGAGGAAGCTCGCGCCCTCCAGGGCACCCTCGACGAACAGGGAGCACACGAGGATCATCCGCAGGGAGAACACCACACGCGAGTGGCACACGGCGCGCAGGAAGGACTTGGCCAACAGGAAGGGCACGATCAAGCAACGCATGCAACGGGCCGCAATCCGCGCGATCCTCGAAGATGCAGAGCTCCGACTCGAAGTCGATGCCGAACGAGGAGTTGCCATTGCCATGATCTGCCACCCCAGGCGGCAACGAAGAGGCATCCCCATCACGAAACGCGCCAGCCACATGATGTCGAGGAGTTCTATGCACATCAGCAGGAACAAGGGCGTCCACCAAGATCTTGCAGAATGCCACGCAGGTGCAATCTACACGGAACGGTAGTAGCAATCGAGTGAAAATCGGCAAGCACCCGCGCGCACCGCTCCCTAGGCCGAAGAGGTCGCCAACATCGCCGAAGAACAGCAAGGAAGCGTCGCTGACGCCACTGCTGGTAGGACCCGCAATGTGGCATCACCTCAACGAGCGCACGGCAGCAAGTCGCCACGCAGGGCCATCCAGCAGCGAGCTAAAACCATATGCATGCAACGGGGGCGCGTCGGGGGCCACCACCTAGCACGCGGCTTCACCCAACATGCCCACGGAAGAAGAGGAAGAGGAGGAAAAGGAGGAGGAGGAGGAAGAGGAGGAGGAGGAGGCGGAAGAAGGAGGACCCGGAGGAAGAGGAGGCGGAGAGGGGGGAGGAGGAGGAGGAGAGAAGGGGGAGGAGGGAGGTGGAAGCCTAGGGAAGAGAGGGAGGAGGAGGCGGAGGAGGGGGAAGAGGAGGAGGAGGAGGAGGAGGAGGGGAGGAGGGAGTGGAAGAAAAGGAGCGAGGAGGAGGAGGATGGGGAAGAGGAAGCAAATGCGGAGGAGAGGGGGCAGGAGGAGCGCGCCGAGGAGGAGGAGGAGGAGGGGAGGAGGAGGAGGAGGAGGAGGAGGAGGAGAAAGGAAGAAAAGTGGAGGAGAGGGGGCAGGAGGAGCGCGCGGAGAAGAAAGAGGAGGAGGAAAAAGGGAGGAGGATGAGGAGGACGAGGATGATGATGAGGGGGAGGAGGAGGAAGGAGGAGGAGGAGGAGGAAATGGAGGAGGATGAGGATGGAGGAAAAGGAGACGGAGGAGGAGGAAAAATGAGGAGGAGGAGGAGGTAGAGAAGAGGAAGAGAAGGAACGAGGAGGAGAGGGAGGCGAAGGAGGAGGAGGAGGGGAGGAGGAGGATGAGAGGAGGAGGAGGAGGAGGAAGGAGGAGGAGGGAGGAGGAGGAGGAAGAGGAGGATGAGGGAGAGGAGCGAGGAGGAGGAGGAGGATGAAGCTGAGGAGGAGGGAGGAGGAAGGAGGGGGAGGAGGAGGAGGAAGAGGGGGGGAGGAGGAGGAAGAGGAGGAGAAGGAGGAAGAGGAGGATGTTGCCTGTATGTTGCCTGCCTGATCTGCTCCGCAATAAGCACGAATGCGGAGCCGACGAACATCGAGACCCCCCTCGCCTGAGGTCTTTGGGGGGCCTCCGCGCAGCTGAAACATCAACTACTGCGCTCCGCGCTCCCCCTGCGGCGGCGGCGTTGGCGCTCCGCGCTCGCCGGAGCACTGGCCGCCGCCGCGGGGGCCTCCGGCCCCAGCCCTGGCGGGGGAGTTGGCCGCAGTGGGACTGTGAACCCGGGGGGGGAGAAGAGAGGGGAGAGGGAGTGGAGAAGAGGAGCCAGGAGGAAGCAGGAAGGGAGGGGCGCAGTCTCCCCGCGGCCTACCCGAAGAGGAGGAGGAGGAGGAGGAGGAGGAGGAGGGAGAAGCAGGAGGAGGAGAAGGAGGAGGAGGATGACAGAAATTTGCCCGCCTTTTGGTCCACGAACAGATTCTTGCCCAGAGCCTGCACCAAGCTGGCCGTGAGCTGCTTGCACGCCCGCTTCCGCGCGATATCTTTCTTGTTCTTGTCCAGCATCCCAAAGATCTTCACCGCCCTGTCGCCTGGCATAGTAGTCTTGAAGCGACGCCAACACCCCCGGCCCTTCACGGAGTTGAGAGTGCGCGTGCCGAACACAGGCTCCAGATGTAAGCCCACTCTCCCCCTCTCCGACCTTGAACCTGCCCCTCTCCGACCTTGAACCTGATAGCGAACGAACGAGCCATCTGAGGTCCTTCCAAGATGCACCTTTCTCCAAGGCGGTACCCACTAGCTCCCAACCATGAGTCCAACGCGATCGAGAGAGCAGCGACCGTGATGGGCTACTTCGAACTGATGACGGACATTGAATGGTCCAAGGGTCTATCTCAATCTGCTGCCCTCACAACTGGTGCCTTCGGTTCTGCCCGAGCGAGGTCGAATACTTGTGCGAGCCATCAAGTCGAGCAAATAGGGACGCGCTCGCACTCTCCAGTTTCTCGATGCGTGCCACGTTGGCGACCACCTGCGCCATGGTGTTGTCGAAGCGTGCCTCCATCTTCGTTTCCAGACGAGCGAGG